GAATTTTACCATACGGAAGGATCCAATGAAGAAACTAATCCGGCTGAGTTCCAATAAATAGATCCTTCAAAGGATCTGTCCTAATACACCTGCCGTATATTGGTACAGAGAAATCATATAAACTGTACTCAGTCGGATTTATTTTGTTTCACGACAGAGAAACCAAATACCTTTTGCTATTTTGGCACATATATTTATTCTTATATACTTGTGCAGTTTCGAATGATCCAACATATCTGCAGTCATTAAACTTGAAGACATGCTGTTTAAGGCCTTATTTGCACCGCCTCTCTTTTTTTGTCTGCGCGCCTCTTTCCTTCAATAATAATAATGAACAACTTTTTTCGAATCAGGTATTACACTGTTACAAATGTATGTTGAACCTACTCCTTACGACAAGGAAAAAGAGGATGAATGCTTTCTATCTTCACCGGTTTTGTAGCATGTTCCGAATTGTTGGCTCTTTCTTATTTGAGGATTCATCATTTTTTTTGTAATTTAGAAGCTGACCTGAAAGCTTGATAAGGTTAAGCTTGACAAATACTCTAGAATACTTTTTCCTTCCATCTTTATTTTTATTCATAACTCATTTCAGTTTCTATACGTACAAAGTGTCTTACATCATTGTAAGTTAGTATGGTTGCCAATGCATAAACACGTACAAAAGCGGATAAATATTTTCTATCATGATAATTATTGGATTTCTTTTAGCCCTTTTATATTTCAATTAGTTCTTGTAAATCATCTTTATTTCATATAGAAGTCGTTGTAGTCACATATCATCTTCTATTTCCTATCATCCATAGTAGGTAGCTATATAATTTTGGCAGTCCACACAACCAAAAATAATATATAATTTGATCTAACTTAGTACAAATATATATTTTGCTATGCATATTAGTAGAATAAAATAATATTCGAGAATTAAGCATCTTGAACAATATAATTGCACCGTAAGGCAGTTTATACTTTTTTTCCTGGCTACACTCGAAGAGAAGACTATACTACATGCCTATATTACTGCATTAATAAATAATTGCTGATTTTATTTAAATGAGAATATTTTCATGCTATTACTCTATGCAGCAACATAACCACTATTGTGTCTCGCTTTTGAAAATACAATTTGAGCGACATTAAACATTGTGTATCCATTTGATTTATATTTTTAACAACATTTATTTTTTTATTATGTGAATTCATCTGTTTTACGTATGAGACGTGCGTTGCACGTGCATGCTTACTAGTATTGATGAAAACTTTGAAAAATAATATAAAATAAATTGTACATCGGATGAAAAATACTTTGTACATAAAAGTTGCTCAGAATTTTGAGACGAATCCGGTTACGCAGCCCGTTCATCCGCCACGCGTCCCTAGCATAGTGAACATGCAACTTTCCCCCTTCGGTTCATCTGTTCGAAAACGCAAAACACCGGGGATATTTTCTCGGATGTTTCCTCCCTTCGCCGGTATCTCCTCCAACTGCGTTAGGGCACCCCTAGCATCGCGTATTGTCATGTTATGCCTTGTGATGCTTTGATTGATTGTTATTTATTGTGTTCCCTTTTGTTACTTCTTTCCGATAGACCCCGAGACCGCTGCCGGTACCCCTGTTGTCGACTACAGTGCTGACGACCCTTCTTGCCAGAGCAACCAGGCAAGCCCCCCTTTGATCACCAGATATCGCCTACTCTTCTCTCTACTTCTTGCATTAAAGTAGTGTAGCATGTTACTGCCTTCCGTTAATCCTATCCTGATGCATAGTCTATCCTTGCTACTACTGTTGTTACCTTTACCTGCAATGCTAATGCTTAGTATAGGATGCTAATTTATCATCAGTGGCCCTACATTCTTGTCCGTCTGCCATGCTATACTATCGGGCCGTGATCACTCGGGAGGTGATCACGGGTATATACTATATACTTTATACACGATACATGTGATGACTAAAGTCGGGTTGGCTCGAGGAGTACCCGCGGTTGATTCACGAATTGGGGGCTGGAAGGACATACTTTCCCGACGGCCCTCTGTGTGGATCTTTGTGGCGAAGGGACAGGGCAGGTTGAGACCACCTAGGAGAGAGGTGGGCCTGGCCCTGGTCGGCGTTCGCAGTTATTTTAAGATAACACATTTAACGAGATCTTGGTATTTGATCTGAGTCTGGTCACTGGCCTATACGCACTAACCATCTATGCGGGGACAGTTATGGGCACTCGACGTCGTGGTATCAGTCGAAGCCTTTGTGATGTCAGCGACTGAGCGGCGCGCGCCGGATTGGACCGTGAGCCTGCTCTTGTATTAAGGGGGCTAGTTCTGCTTCCGGCCGCATACACAACGTGAATGTGTGCAATGGGCGATGGACCCAGACCCCTGCGCCATAGGATTTAGACCGGCGTGCTAACCTCTCTGTTGTGCCTAGGTAGGGCTGCGACATGTTGATCTTTCGAGGCCGGGCATGACCCAGAAAAGTGTGTCCGGACAAAGGGGATCAAGCGTGTTGGGAAATGTGATGCACCCCTGCAGGGAAGTTTATCTATTCGAATAGTCGTGTCCCTCGATAAAAGGACGACCCGGAGTTGTACCTTGACCTTATGACAACTAGAACCGGATACTTAATAAAATACACCTTCCAAGTGCCAGATACAACCGATGATCGCTCTCTCACAGGGCGACGAGGGGAGGATCATCGGTTAGGATTATGCTATGCGATGTTACTTGGTGAACTTACCATCTACTCTCTTCTTCTGCTGCAAGATGGAGGTTACCAGAAGCGTAGTCTTCGATAGGAGTAGCTATCCCCCTCTTATTCTGGTATTCTGCAGTTCAGTCCACATATGTTACCCCTTTTCCATTTGGTACCAATGCATACATATGTAGTGTAGCTCCTTGCTTGCGAGTACTTTGGATGAGTACTCACGGTTGCTTTGCTCCCCCCTTTTCCCCCTTTCTATATCCGATTGCTGCGATCAGACGTTGGAGACCAGGAGCCATACGCCACTGTCGATGACGACTGCTACTACTCGGGAGGTGCCTACTACTACGTGCAGGCCGCTGACGACGACCAGGAGTGGTTTAGGAGGATCCCAGGCAGGAGGCCTGTGCCTCTTTCAATATGTATCCCAGTTTGTGCTAGCCTTCTTAAGGCAACTTGTTTAACTTATGTCTGTACTCAGATATTGTTACTTCCGCTGACTCGTCTATGATCGAGCTCTTATATTCGAGCCCTCGAGGCCCCTGGCTTGTAATATGATGCTTGTATGACTTATTTTATTTGTAGAGTTGTGTTGTGATATCTCCTCGTGAGTCCCTGATCTTGATCGTACACATTTGCGTGTATGATTAGTGTACGATTGAATCGGGGCGTCACAATACCCTTTTGCCACTAGCCTTGCCTTCACTACAAGAAATATGTCAACTTGCGACCATCTCTATTGGTCACTGAAAGGTCATTGTTTTCCATTTGTGACCTTTTTGTGACCAAAAATAGATGGTTAAAAGCTGACGGTCGTAAACTAAAATTAACGACCTTCTATGTAAGAAGGTCGTGAAATTCCACGACCAAAACAAAAGGTCATTGATTTTATGACCTTCTGTTTTGGTCGCTAGCTCTCTGCCCAGGCCACGTCGGATCCGACGTGGCAATCTAACATGGCAAAACTGCGACCAATCGAAAAGGTCGTTGATAAGATTCAGCCCGGTCCGATTAGGTGTCTATATGGGCGTAGCCCAACAATTCAGCCCATTTATATATTTATTTTCCTGTCAATTTACGCTAGCTACATGGGCCTAGCCCATCAATTCAGCCTTTTTATTTCTGTGTGCGGCCTTTTACAACATATGATCTTTTATTTTTCGCCATTTTATTTTCCACCATTTTATATTGGTCCCCAATATCATAATATCATACACTGGTCCCACACGTCAGAAATTTCAAATGTGCTCAAATTATTTTGATAAGTGGGTCGCATGAGTCATGTTTCCATCGCACACATTTTCAAATCACGTACATAATTACTATTTCATATGAAATAGAAATTGTAATTCTGAAACATACGGCATTTCATCCAGAAACAAAGAGAAGATACATGAAATTCTAGAGTTCTCAATGCCCAGATAACCCAGCTATTATTACATAACTTGCTATATAAGAATGTCTTGGAGCTTCCTTGAACATCTTTCGTCTTGAATTTACACAATATCTGCCAATAAGAAAACAGACCAACAAGGATAGGGTGAATATACAACAACAACAACAACAACAATAACAGGTGATGGGGTGCTATTTAGTAGTAAGATCATGTCTGGAAAGAAACATGCATGAAAGTTAAGAAGAGCTAGAGCAAGTCTACATGAAAATTAAGAAGTGTTATTTAGTATGGATGCCCTCAAGTTTTCGTGCACGTCATGCCAAGTCAGCCAACACGTAGCATGCATATGTGCCATAAAAATGATTAAATGAGGAAGGGCTGAAGCCAAATAGTGGTTCCTCCATGCAATGATCACAGTTAGATAGCATCGACCTACTACAGTTCATGTTATAACAACACTAGTTCATGTGAGAAACACATAGGGTCCAAAGTACAAACCAAAAACAATCTGACTTGGGTAAACCAGTACATGATGAAACAAAATTATTCATTTTGGATTAAAAGAGGAATATGGTGTCCACCTTATACTACAACATCATCATCAAGATTAAAACAACACATTTATAGTCAGAGTGCTGGATGAGAAAAATATCAATTGAAACCAACTAGAGCAGGTGAGCCAGGGATAAGTAGTAGCAGGAAAATAATGGTACATTCACAACTTCAGTTCAGGTAAATATCACCACATGTATCAGTATACAGGCAGCAATAGTATCATCGAGCACAGCAAAACAGCAGCTTGACCCAAACTATACAGTCAGCCTCCTATACACCCAACCTACAGCAGTTGTGGCTACACCCAAACTACAGCAGCAGTTCTACCAGTAGCAACAGATCGAGTCAATTGTCTCACCTACAGCAGCTCACCAGGAGCGAAGTTGAGGAGGGCCGGGGCAGGAGCAGCTGGATGCAGGTCATGGGCATGGTTGGGGAAGGACACAGGCAGAAGGACGCAGGTCGTCCGAGGATCCCGTCGATGCTGTCACCGTCTTGGTTGCCGGGGAGCTGTGGCCGTGGCTGTGTCCACATGCATGTATCCAGCCTGCAGCCATCATGCGTACATTCATTTTATTCAGCATAATCCTACTGTCATTTCCGAGCAAACTAGCCAGTTAGTGTAAATATGTATCTGAATAACAAAGCGAGGGCATTGCCATATATATACCTCAGTGATGGCCTCAGCCTAACCAAGTCTTATCATGAATTTACAGTATATTCCAAAGTTTTTACAAGTGACAAATAGTTCCAAATGGGAAAATTGAATTATTTGTTACAAGGACAGTACTATGAACTAATTTCTCTGCAAGGGGTTAGTGTGAATATGTTATGATTTTATCCCCAAGCAAACAGGATTCAGATTGCCGTCTAGCATCTTTACAGCAGGCATAATGCAAATACCAACTATTTCCATTCAACTCCTTCTACTTATGTCTAATACTACAAGAGTCCAGACAGCTCCCAATTTCTAACTGAAGATTAGCAACAGTTCAGTTTCAGTAAACTGTTCTTCAGACAGTTTCATTACACTGTCTTCCAGCACAAGCTGGTCATGTCAATGCAGCAAAGAGTATCGACCAGTAGGAACTAGCTAGGAAGCTGGCAATGGCGCGTCTCACCTGGCGTGACGACAATGATGTCGAGGGTCTGCCTGCTGCGGGGCAGGTCAACGACCAGTGGTGTAGTCGCGCGGGTTTTGCATCAACTTAAGCCTGAGGCACAGGCCAGTCACCGTAGCCATACTGCAATGCTGCACAGTCGGGGTGAATGTTATCCTGCAAAGCAATTGTAAGGTGTGAATAGTGATCCCCAAAAGTTCAAGCTGGATGATAGTTCTTGACTTCTTGCATGAAACAAAACACATTTCGTGCGAGCAGACTGTGTACAGTGCAATGAGAATAATATAGGATGCTTCGCTTGCAATAAGTAAATGCATCCTGAAGGTTGCAGTGAATCAGATATTGGGACTACAATTTTATCCCTAGCAAATATATGTTTCCTGATTATTATTCATTTCCAAGTGCAGGAAACCATCCCGGTGACCCAGCTTGTCCGAGAGACTGCTCATGCTATGCAGGAGTTCACACAATCTGGGTATGCTACTATACTTGGCACTTTCTATTTATTATACTACTAATGAGGTTACGAAATTGTTTAAATCAGTCACTTGTTATTCCTGAATTACTATTAGAACAATAAGTTGCTTGACAGTTTTACCGAGAGCTTCACAATGCCATTTGATGTAACTTGTTTCTGTTAACAAGAATTCAAATATGAAATATAACTTCAATGTCCATTGATTTTGTCACTTAATTGTGAAACACAACAATCATTTAGGTAACTGCAGAGAATCAGTGAATCAAGAATCAAGAAAACAATAATATACGAGTGTCACAACAACATTAATATACGAGTGTTATAATGTTCACACAATCAAGAATCAACAATCATCTAACTTGTTTCTGTTAACTCTGTAGCAACATTAATATACAAGTGTCACAACAACATCCTCCATCCAACTTGCAGTGAATCAAGAAAACAATCAGTCGTGGACACATCCAATTCACTACAGATGGACGAACATTGCTATACCATATCTTAACCAAAAAAACTTTGTATGAGGAACATTGCTATACCATATCTGGTGCCCCTTGTACTCCACCAGCTTTGTATGAGGAACATCCGATTCACCTGGAGACATTAACCCAGTTCTGGTGCCCCTTGTACTCCACCAGCTTTGTATGAGGAACATTGCTATACCATATCTGAACGAAAAAAACTATGTCAGCCAGGTACACAAACCATGTCTGAAGATAACTGAAATCATGCACCAAAGACAGAGAATTCAGTTCAACGTCCAACTATAAAAGGACCTGCTCTCTGCTCTCATATCTGAACCAGTTCTACACGTGCAGGTGTACCAAATCCTTCAATCCACATATGTGCTATATGACAGGAGAGAGTTCATCCAAACACAGTTAAAGAATTTGGAGCATTCTAGCTAATAAGAAGGAAAGACCGTATGCTTCTTCTACATACGGTGGAGCTGCACCAGCATTTGTTTAAGGATCGGCATGTCTGAATTTACTGTGTGTTGCGTCTGTGTTGGTAACTGAAATTAGTAGTACCTAAGGGCAGATAGCTGACGACCTTGGGACGGAACCACTGCTGCGAGGACCGTGGCACGGCGCTCGGCCTCCCTGCTGTCGGCCATGGCGACCTGCGCGAGCTCCTCCTTGGAGACGCCGAGTGGCCTGCTTGGAGATGAGCAGCACCTGCCTGTGAATGGAAACCGGACGCATCAGGGGAGAGGGAGAGAGAGAGAGAAAAAACCAACCAAATCGAATCGGGACTGAGGCGCCGACGGCGTCAGGGGAGAGAGCAAACCTTGAGGTCGACGGCGAGGAGCACCACAGACGGTCGCCCCGCCGGTGAGGTCAGGTCAGGTCCGGTCCGGCGAGGCGACCCACCATCACCATGGCTGCCAAATCCCTCGGGATTGAAAGGTCGTGACCAAACGAACGGCGGCGAGCCAGCTCTGTACATGGAGGGCGTCGGAGGAGCAAGGAGCAGCCGGGCCTCTCTCCTCATGTCGAGCAGGCAGTGAGGTGACCACGCCCACGCCGGAGAAGACAAGACAAGAGAAGAGGTTGTGCACAGCACCGACCGGCTGCTGGCCAGGACCCCGCCGGTGAGGTCCGGTCCGTCGTGGGGAGAGAGGAGGGCCGCCAAATCCCTCACTCCGGATTGACGCCGTGCCTTCCAGATCGGCGTGGGCATGGCTGCCAATCCGCTTCGGCCGCCGCATCGCTAGCTTGATCCGGGGCCTCGAGGAGAGGAGAGGAGGTTGGGGTCGTCGCCGTTGAGGGTTTGGGGCGGCGGCGGTCCGTCGGAGGGAGAGGGAGAGTTCCGGTGAGGGTGGGGTGAGGATTGTTTCCGTATCTTGGATCGGTTGGGGAGGGAGCGTGAGAAGGTGGGGAAGGAAGCGAGGGGCTGGCGGGGAGGGTGCGGCGTCGCGAGAGAGAGGATGGCGGGGAGGAAGGGGAGGGGTCGGGGTGGCGATGCGGTGAGGAAGGGCGCGATGGAGAGGGAAAGAAAGGAGGCGGGGGTGGATGGAAAATGACCACGAGGACATAGCTAGAGTTTTGGGGTTGGTGTGGAAGGGTTGATGACTGCCGTTGGATCCACCAGCATCAGGTGATGTTTGATGCATGATCCGCGTGAGACATCGGCGAACCAATTAAAATGCAGTGCGATGTTTTGACCATTTAAATTGGTCGCAATTGACTAAAAATAGACAGTTACCACAAATCATCCGAATGATTTTAGCCAAAAATAAGCTGCCTGGAGAACCGTTCGATCAGACGCACCGTACCCACTGAATCGGGAAACTTCCATGGCAGCAGCACGCAGTAGCTCCATGGTAACACCACGCAACGGAACTTCAACGACCCCGGCGGTGCTTCGCTACAGCTCCGCCCTCGTCGGAGCTTCAACGAACCCGGCGGCGCTTCACTGCAGCTCCCGCGATGCTTCACCGCAACTGCGGCGGTGCTTCACTGCAGCTCCACGGGCGCTTCATTGAAACTTTGGTAGCACTCCCGCCGGCCGCCGGTGAAGCTTCACTGCAGCGCCACCGCTGCACGGCGGTGCTCCACAGCAGCATCGGCTGCCCCGTCGAACCTCCACTGCAGCATCCAATGGTTGCTGGTGAAATTTCACTATATCGCAACATGAGGGTGACGGGTGTTGCGATGATGCAACACAGCGGCGATGACGGATCTCGCGAAGATTCATGGCTTTCAAGTCAAGTGATCAATCTTATGGCCACATTCATAGCATTGTTTGTTTAAATGATCTCATATTGTGCATAAGGGTGCATCTTGGGATGGCAAACAATGTTGTCTAAGAAAGTTTTTCATTTTCTTTAGACAAAAAATTCATTTTCTATTTTTCGAGTGCCCAAAATGAGTTTTTTTGTGAAGGACCTATCATATATTTGTTGCAATATTGGACCAAATCATTTTTATAAAATACTAGGTCATATATAATGCATAATTGACCAAACGGTTGGGTATCAAAAGTTTCGATCCACCTCTCGTGAAAAAGACAAATTCCCACTGATTTGGTAGGAAGCGGGTAAAATTTGAACTACAGCTGCCTCATAGTTTGCTCTTTATTTTTCCAAAAATCATTTCTACATACATAAGTATCTATTTAATTAGAGAAACACAAAAGATTTTCCAAGATTCAACCACTAGCTACGAACATTCATGCCCGTCGTTTTGACCGCATTTTGAAATAGGCATAAAAATAAAAATAAAAAATTGGAAAACCTTCACATTGTGTCATTATATATAACCAAGTTACCAGGAAAAATAATAAACTTGTAATACGACAATTATTTTTAAAAAGTGTTCTCAGAAACGAGCTATCATGCGTGAAGATTCATGGCTTTCAAGCCAAATGATCAATCTTATGGCCATATTCATGGCATAGTTTGTTCAAATGATCTGCATCTTGGGATGGCAGACAATGTTGCCTAAGGAAGTTTTGATTTTCTTTGGACGAAAAATTCGTTTACTATTTTTCGAGTGCCCAAAATGAGTTTTTTTTTGTGACGGATCTACCATATATTTGTTGCAATATTGGACCTAATCATTTTTATAAAATACTAGGCCATATATAATGCACAATTGATCAAATGGTTGGGTGTCAAAAGTTTCGATCCACCTCTCGTGAAAAAGACAAATTTTCGCCGATTCAGTAGAAAGCGGGTAAAATTTGAACTGCAGCTGCCTCATAGTTTCCTATTTATTTTTTCCAAATATCATTTCTAGGTACATAAGTATCTATTTAATTAGAGAAACATAAAAAAAATTTAAGATTCAACCACTAGCTAGGAACGGTCAAACCCGCCATTTTGACCGCATTTTAAAACGGGCATAAAAAATTAAAAAAAATCAAAAAACTAGAAACCCTTCGCATTGTGTCATTATATGTGACCAAGTTTTCAGGAAAAATAATAAAATTGTAATACAACAATTATTTTAAAAAAGTGTTCTCAGAAATGAGCCAAATGATCAATCTTATGGCCACATTCATGGCATAGTTTGTTCAAATGATCTCGTATTGTGCATAAGGGTGCAGCTTGGAATTCCAAACAATGTTGCCTAAGTGAGTTTTCATTTTCTTTGCACGGAAAATTCATTTTCCATTTTCCGAGTGCCCGAAATGAGTTTTTTTTGTGAAGGACCTACCATATATTTGTTGTAAAATTGGACCAAATCAATTTTCTAAAATACTAGGCCATATTAAATGCACAATTGACAAAATTGGTGGAAGTCGGAAGCTTTGATCCATCTCTGGTGAAAAAGACAAATTTCCGCCGATTCAGCAGGAAGCGGGTCAATTTTGAATTGTAGCTGCCTGTTTGCTATTTATTTTTTCCAAAAATCATTTCTAGGTACATAAGTATCTATTTAATCAGAGAAACATAAAAAATTTCCAAGATTCAACCACTGGCTAGGAACGGTGAAGCCCATCGTTTTGACCGCATTTTGAAACAGGCATCAAAAAATTGGAAAACCTTTGCATTGTGTCATCATATGTGACCAAGTTTCTAGTAAAAATAATAAACTTATAATACGGTAATTATTTTTAAAAAGTGTTCTCATAAATGAGGTATCATGCGTGAAGATTCATGGCTTTCAAGTCAAATGATCAATCTTATGGCCATATTCATGGCATAGTTTGTTCAAATGATCTCATATTGTGCACAAGGGTGCATCTTGGAATTACAAACAATGTTGCCTAAGGGAGTTTTCATTTTCATTGCATGGAAAATTCATTTTTCATTTTTCGAGTGCCCGAAATGAGTTTTTTTGTGAAGTACCTACCATATATTTGTTGCAATATTGGAACAAATCATTTTTA